CGATCTCATTGTTATTTTAATTTGCATTTCCCAAATGACACATGATGTTGAGACCTTTTATATGTTTATTTGCCATCTTTATATATTTTTTGGTGTGTTGTCTGTTTCAGATAGATATTTTTGCGTATTAAAAAACTGGATTGCTTGTTTTCTGATTGATGAGTTTTAACAGATCTTTGTATATTTGAATACAAGCCCATTATCAGATATGTGTTTTGCAAATATATTCCCCCAGTTGTGGCCAATCTTTTCATTCTCTTAATAGTGTCTTTCGTAGACCAGAAGTTTTTAAATTTGAATATAGTCCATCATACTAACTTTTTCTTTAATGGACCATGCTTTTGATGTTGTATCTAAAAAGCCAACATTACCTAGATTTTCTGCCATTATCTTCTAGGAGTTTTATAGCTTTGCTTCTTGTATTTAGATCTTTGATCTGTTTGGGGTTAATGTTTGTGAAAGGTGCAAGGTCTGTATCTAGATCCATTATCTTGTATGTGGATGTTTAGTTGTTCCAGCATAATTTTTAAAAGAAGATTATTGTTTTTCCACTGAATTGACTTTGTTCCTTTGTCAGAGATCAGTTGGCTGTATTCATATGGATTTATTTTCTGGGCTGTCTGTTGTGTTTGTTGATCTACTTGTCTGTTCTTTCTCTGATACCATACTATCTTTATTAACATAGTTTTATATAATATTATTAATATATAATTATTATTATATAATAATATATAATTATTATTATTAAAATAATAATATATAATATATAATAATATTAATAGTTTTATAGTAAGTTTTGAAGTTGAGTACTGTCAGTTCTCCAATTTTGTTCTTCAGTATTCTGTTGGCTGTTCTGGATCTTTTGCATATAAACTTTATGATCAGTTTGTTGATAGCCACAAAACTTGCTGGGACTGTGATTGGGACTGTGTTGAATCTATAGATCAAATTGATTGTCACTATTGAGTCTGCCTATCCCCAAATGTGGAATACCTCTCCATTTTTTTAGATCTTCTTTAATGTCATTCATCAGAGTTTTGTAGTTTTCCTCAAATAGATCTTGTACATATTTTAGTATATTTATACCTAAGTATTTCTTCTCTTTTTTTGGTGCGGACATAAATGGTGCTGTATTTTTCATTTCAAATTCCAGTTGTTCATTGCTGGTATATAAGAAAACAATTGACTTATTTATATTAACCGTGTACCCTATAATCTCGTTATATTTGATTATTAGTTCTATGGTTTTTCTTGGAAGCATGTTAATATTCTACATATTTTTAAAAAAATCAGTAAGAATTAGAGAAAAAAATCCTTAAAACTGTAAGCAAACTGAACAAATGAACCCAGTTGTATTGCAAATGAATAGCATAACTATATAGGAGAGAAAAAAAACTGATTTAAGTAACTGTTAAACATGTCATTTAACTATTTACCCTTAGTTGAATAGGGAAGGAAACAACTACAAACAAATCCTGAACTCTTTTTAGAAGGTTTATTGTAGTTGTATGAAAGAAGTAATATGAAATTATTTGGGGTGTATGGTAGAATTGAATAAATAAGTATGTTGATGTTCGTGGTAGCCAGGATTCTCACTGAGGAAGAAAGCAAATACAGATATGGATTGGGGCAAAGCATGGGGAAAAGGACCCTATTGGAGTACATTGAAATTGGAGCTATCTGCATAAACTCATGATTTCTAATACGTTTTATACACAAACTTACACACATACGTATATTTAAATGTGTGGGTTTATATACGTATATGTACTCCTAACTCTGTTAGCTGAAAAGGTATGGAAACATCCCCAATGAACACATCTGGCACCCAGATATTGGTTACTAATGCAGTTCCCCAGCTAAAAGGAATCTGGGCTCCTGGTAGAAATTGATTCCAGGGCTAGGGCAAGAAAGGTACAAGTTGAGCCTGGAACAATGTACTAAGCCAGAAAGTTAAGAAGTGCTAAGGGAAATAAAAGTAAATTTGGGCATGTCAAGAGGACACAGGATCCAACTTAAGAGATTCCCAATGACCAAATCTGGGATGATTTGAACATCAAGATAACTAAAGATAGTAATAAATTATAAGCCACTGAAAATAGGAGTTCTTTTGTCTTGAAAGGCAAAGGCTGAGGAACTATCAGTACCAGATTAAAGGATACTAAAGAAACATGACAACTAAATGTAATATGTGATTCTGAACTGGATCTAACCTTCTTACTGAAGGAAAAAAATATGCTAGAAAGGACATCACTCGGTCTTTGACAAAATTGAAGTACGGATGGTCAATACAATATTGTAGAATTGTTAAATTTCCTGAACTTGCTAACTGTACTGTAGCTCTTTAGTGGAATCTTCTTGGTTTTAGGAAATATACTTTGAATTACTCGGGAATAATGGGGCATGGTACGTGAAGCTTACTCTCAGATGTTCAGAAGAACAATTTGTGTATGTACGTATGCTTGCACTCCTCAGTATGAATGCAAATGATAAATGGGGTAGAAAGTTAACAATTGGTGAATCTGGGTAAAGAGTATGTGGAGTTTCTTTATACTATTCTTGCAACTTTTCTCTTAGCTTGGAATAATTCCAAATAAAAGATTTTTAAAAGATTGGTGTTTGGCATGCACAAAATATTAAGGGTAATAGAGCAGACTTCTGAAAGCAGGTTTGATAACGTCAAGTGTTTTGAAGGACTGTTATGTGGAAGAAGGATTAAAACTTTGAATTTGGCTAATCTTATTTTGTGTCAGCCTGCTTTGTGTAATATCATTACAGCACGTCTAAGAGCTCATGACTGGAATGAGAGGCAGGAGTTCTTTAAGCTTTATGGAGTCTTCAGTATCATTCAGTACAGAGAGGTGCAAAAAGACCCACGATTCTAGGGGTTCATGAGGTAGAGTGAATGAGTGAAAAGTACTGGGTATAGGAAAATGGGAACTGGTGCCAACTTGAGAGCAGTGTCTTCTCTACAGACTTTCATATGCAATTAAAGACAAAACCAAAACCTTGTGTAGCACTCAGGGCTGTGTCTGGCCTAGGAGTGGCCAATTGTGACCCCTGATCTTACCCACTCCTCCTCTTTTTTTTTTTTTTATTCAGGTGAGGAAACAGGTACCAAAAGTCACGAAGTGTGTGAGATAATGAAAGGTGTAAATGTGTGCATATATATCAAAACACACCATATTTAATGAAAGAAATTATTATCCACACATTTGTACTTCTGTACAATTTGGGGTAATATATAATTTTAAGCTGTTTACAAATAACATGTAATGCTTCAAATATTACATAATGTTGATAATACATTTCTAGCAGAAATAAATATATTGCACTTAAAAAGAACTTCATTAGATGTTACTTCATAGTATTAGGCTTATAACTTCTTTTTCATAAAACATTTCCCATGCCCTTCCCCCCCGCCCGCAACACACACACACACACACACACACACACACATACACACTTCATTACAGTGACTGTTCCCACACAATTCATTAAGCAAATGAACACAGCAAACAGCAGAACTGTGATAAAGGCTACTAAAGAGGCTATATCCAATTTTATCCTTTAGGAAATAGAAGATCTTCTTTTAGGTTTCTGAAACTAAGAAAAACAATAACTAAATACAGTATTTTAATGTACCAGAAGTAAAATACAACAAATTGTATTTTTTGTCCAGATGTACTATTTCACCAAAATGTTCTTATAATCAGGGGAGGGATTGGAACTTATCTAATAGAGGGACAGAGAAACAAGGGCCAGAAAATACTTACGGATTATTTGCCTATCAAATATTTATGAATGAACCTCTGCATAGTTAAACATGCTGCAGAAAGCTAAGCATTGGAATATTTTATTACTGGCATCGAATAGTAGTGAAGAAATAATGTTATGATTTTATAAAATTTTAAGAGTTTTTAACCTTCCCTTTCCTTGTTTACATAAAATCCTTACATTATGAAATAATATAAAAATTTATAAAATCCATCCTCCACCCAAGTCCAGCTCTCTAAAGGAGCCAGCTGAAAATCTTTTCTGTTCAGTGCTTTATTTATTTCTGTCCAGTCTAGATTTAGAGTATAATATTGTTTTGTTTGTAATAATTAATTCCAAACACACTTACTAATGAAAATAGTTTTCCTTACTTAGTCAATGTAAGAGTGAGTAAAAATATTGTCTTTCGTGCCATATTTGATCTTGCACATTACATAACTGAATCTTTAACTTTACTGAGTCATGGCTTGAGTTTGAATGCATTTTCAGTGGAATGGTAAATTCACTCCATTTACTTTATTTGAAGCTCATTTTTCTCAATGTAATTCAGCTTAAACATAAGCAGGACAGCCTGAAAAGCTAATGTGAAAGTCAGAATTGGGATAAATATCCTAATATCACTATGGAAAATTCATAGGCGTATGAGATAAGTATGCTTTGCTTCTAAGAATACTTATTTCTTGGGCTTTAGGAGGATTTCCTTTTTTTACCCCCAGGGTGGGGATATTGTGGCTGGAGAAGTGCAAGGACAGAGATGTGGATAAGGGTGGGGAGAGGAGGTTTTGGAATACCCCAGAAGTGAGTATGACTCCTACACAGATGCTAGATGATGAAGCATCATCAGGAAGCTTCTTAATATCTCCTCCCTGTGCCCAACTAACAGAAATGGTGGTAGGCCTTTCAGACCACATGCCATTGTTATAAACTCAAAAGGACCAGCAATGCAATATAAATTAATTAACATAGAGCTTATTACCTAATAATTTGTGATATGTTAGATGCAAGCTGGATATGTTTACCTTTATACTGCCAAGTTTGGATAGAGGAAGGGGGGATGATTTACTAAGTAAAAGAAATAGTTGAACTTAGTATTGTTGATACGTATTTTAAAAACAAATCACACATGTAGAACCTACTAAGTTATGAATTAATTCTTTTGGGTTAGATAAAGCCCTTCTGGCAGGGCCACTTTTTAGCAGCACTACACATTAGCCATGCTTTTGGATACTGTGATATGCCTGCGGGAACCTTTACTTTATTCCAAATATACTATAACTCATGCTCTTTTATTATTCAGTTTGCTTTCCCACTAAATATCTAGGTTTTGCAATTGCTTTTGGTAAAAGAGATTTTAGAGTTTAAATCTTAAATACCCAAGGAGTTATCAACAAGCAGAATAGCTCAGAAATACCCTGGTGGTGCATATATCTACCCCTGGTTCCCATGACTAGAGTAACTGATCAGGTTAAGCTCCATTTCACTTGTGCTTCTTCTTTCTTGTTCAGATAGTACCAAATACTTTAAAAATGTATCCAATTTAGAATTTCAGGTATTATTTTTTCCAAGATGTTTTAGTCTTTGCTTTTCTCTAAGCGTGCTACTTATTTTTAGTCTTATATTGATTAATTCAAAATAAAGTTATGAAGTCAGGAAATACTGATATAAAACCATATTGAACAAAAATATGTAAACCTACTTTGAGACACACCAATTGGGCAAATGTAAAAATAGCATTAAAATGATCCTTTCATTCTTATTGAAAAGAAAATCCAGATATGGATTCACTTTAGTAGGACAGTAGTTTATCAGGGTATTAAGTAGCATCATGTAAAATAGTATTTACTTTTGTTATTCCTGCTTTAAGCAGCAGTAGTCCGTATTAAAAGGAGCACTGACAACAGGTCAACTATTAAATATTAAATCCCTAGTCTATGCTCTACGGATATCTACTTTAAACATTATACATAACTGCTTTTTTAAAGAAATGCACATCTGTGCTGTGTTTGAAAACGAACTACCTGTGGCTACTATAGTATAACATGCAAGAAGTTAGAAATAAGCCTATAGTGTCTACCACAGGACTTTGAGATGTTTTGTTAACACAGCTGGAGCCTCTCCATAACTGAACTTTGGGATGCAGTGGAGAAAGACAATTGCAAAGTTCATCAATGACATCACGTAGGCAGGCTATGCCATTTGCCTTGTTTCATAGGCTGGAAATGCCCAAGAAAAGCATTTGATATGGCAAAGCCTAACATTAAAACAACCAAATAAAATCCCACTTGAGTCTGATGTGATAAATACATTACATTTACTTCCAAATACACCTCTACTCTCAGCAGCAAGATTTCCCATCTTCTTGAATAGAATCAGTATTTTGTAGTCAGAACAGAGTAGAATGAATATTACATAAAAATTAAATTAAGAGTTTTGGGGAACTTTGTGAAGAAGACAGGTTAAATCTTGTAGCTAGCATGTATTATGTCTAGAGTTGAAGGACTATAAGCTTCATTAAATCTCTGTTATTAAGGAAATGGACTGTTGCAAAATTCCAAATGTACTTCTCTGATTGTAAATGCTTATTAGATATATATGGCTCAAAAATAATACAGATATTATATATAATTACAATATAGTTAATTACTATTATAAATATTAAAAGAAGGCTTAAGAAGATAGCATGAGTTGAAAATAAAGTTGATAAATGCTTTAGATTTACTTATAAGCACTGCCAATGTTTAGTCAGGGTGTCACTGAGTGAAGATGCAATTTCATATTATGGATCTATAAAAATGGTAGAGTCACTGAATATAACACAGTAAGAAAAAAAGGACAAATCAGATATGTGGACATATAACTTTTCATAACCATAGGTCAAGTGGTGGCTGTATGGGCATTTAGAATGGTCATTCATAAATCCTTGTCAGTCAGTGGCAGCAGATAATCAAACAACAAAGCAGATTTATTGAGAATGAGAATTTGGCCTGGTGCATTTTAACATCCATAAGGTCTCCCAAAGCTGAAGTAAAAATGAAGGAGTTTTTGGTACCCATGGCAGAAAAATTCCTTTCAGAATAGGGCAACCATTTTTTATTGTAGCTGTGAGTCTCACATGTCATTGTGTAGAGACTTTAAAGTGTTCCTCAGTGAATAAGGTCAGTGGTATATTTAGAATGCAGCCCAGAAAAATAAAACCTCAGTTTTACAATGTAACATATAGAGCTTCTTGCTTCATAATTGTATATGGAAGATTTTTCCTACATAAGTGTCAAGTAATTGCAAGGAAGAGAATTAGGAAGAAAGAAGATAAGACTGTGAGAATGAACTTGTCAGGTACTGGCCCTTCAATATTACAAAAAGAACCTTATGAAGTCATTATCACCTATTCATCCACAAAATAGGGTGCTTTAGCATTATCTCAGCTCCTTCTCCAGCAAACTAACACAAAGGAAAACTAAACATGCTTAAACTACAGCACTACAAATATTTCTCTATTGGCTCTCATTTCTACAGGGAGAAATGGACTTAAGTTAGTCATTATGCATTATGGTAGCTATGTTTTATAGTATTGCCTCTTTGAAGGTTCTTGTAATCTGTGGGAAGTAGGAAGAAAACCTATACACATTGATTTTTTTATACATTACTGCATCAACACAGCATTTTTAACCACTAGGAATAATGCACCTTAAGATTCATCTGCCTTGCATTATTAAACTTTCTGGTTAAATTGATATCCTATTAGTTGCAGGACTTAGGCTAGCTAAGAACTTTACACTGATTTTCTCTCGAACCCAAGAGCTGTCCCCCATCTGCAGATGAATCCTGGTCCATGGTGCTTTCCCTCAGTGGTAGGTTTTATTGTGAGTCCAGCTCTCCTCTTGAATAGGTCCCATGTCTCCTGGAGAGCCCCTGCTCCAACACCCCACATCCCACCCACCCAACCCTGTCCTATATTTCCATACCCATTTTTGCACATTCTGGATCTGGATTCTCCTATCTTTAGAAGAGTCATACAAATGGCGTCATCACAGCAGAGGAATGGCGCAGTCCTTGGATAGCAGCATAGGGCCCCTGCTGAAAGTAGTGATGGTACCGGGGCATGTGGAATGAGGGGAATGTCGGGCCACTCCCCTGCATGGAGCTGGCAATGGCCGATGGGGTCAGAGGCATCCCAAGTCGGCTGTATGGTGGCAGAGAGCCCTGTATGGGGTGAGGAATGGGTGTCGCTATGGATGCTGTGCTGGTGCCAAGAGCAGTCAGGGACTGTGGGTGCTGAAATCCAGGAAAACTGGATGAAGATGATACCCAGGAGCTGAGAGATAGATTATCAGATGTTGTAAAAGCTGATCCTGAAAGGAAAAACAACTCATTAGACTGGAAACTTTTAATATGCAAATCAAGAATTACATTGTCTATAAGGGTCGATTTATTTTTTAAAAAAATATAATCTTCAGTTTAGAAAGAGAAACAGGTCAACCATAAGCATATCTGCCTTTCCAGATACCATTTATACCATATATAGAAGAGGGAATTTAAATAGAAAAAGTCTTAGCTCATTAGATGACTTGCATACTCCCCGAAAGTGGCCAGAACACCTGCACCCTACCTAAAGGTAATGACCTGATTCCCTTTAAAGGAGTTCCAAATAGCTGATATCTCTCCTAACATCTCTAGCATCCCCATAAGTAAGGCTGGACAGACAGGCGTCAACAAAGCTACCTGGTTTCCAGAGCTGCTGTGAGACACCACAAGAGTGTTTTTCTTTTTCTTTTCTTTTTTTAACTTCTATAACTCTTTTCTCTCTTTCTGTCTCTCTCTCTCTCTCTTTTTGGGGTGGGGGAGTAGAACGAGAACATTCACTCTGTTGATTATGTTTAAGACAGATAAACAAAATCTAAACACATTTTAATATGCCGACTATACTCAGAAGTTGAAATGTGGAAACAATAACAAGCACTGCCAAAAATAAATAATAAATCCTTAGAAATTACTCTAAAAAGAAATGCATGATACTTATTTGAAGTTTTTCACACAACTCTATTGAGAGATGTAATGAAAGATTTTAATAATTGAAGACATATGTCACATCTTGAATGAAAAATAGAATGTTTTTTAAAAGGCAGTTATTTCCAAATTATTTTATTGGTTTAGTGTAAAGCCAATGAAATGCCAATGGTTTCCCCCCCTTCAACTTGATTCTCAAAATTAACAGGACAAATTATAACAGAATATTAAGATTTTTAAAATTGTAACAAGGATAGATTTTGATAGATTTTCCCTACCAGATATAAAAACATTACCAAGTTATAAAAAATAAATAATGCATTTATGAAAATAGCATAGTCCTGAGCAAAGATTAGAAGCCAGATCAGTAGAAAAGAATAAATTGTCATAAAACAAAGTAAAATATATATGTAATTATATTTATCTAATACTTAGTATATAATAAACACATCATTAAGAACTATCAGGAATGATAGGTTAGCTTCCATAATTTTTTATTAAACATTTGACAAGTTGCAAGAGTCTTTCTTACCTCACAACATCTAGAAGTTTAAACAAGAGTTGACACTGAATTTCCCAATTGTATGATTACTAGTAGCTCATTTGGATTTAGTTATAAGAGATGTCCTGTGTTTTGACTGTTTATGCTATTCCATACAATGGACATAAAAATATGACAGAGACCCTCCCCATACGAACATTCCTGTGCCCAGGCACGTGCCTCTGGTCTCTTTTCTCTGGCCTCCCAGATGCAGAGGGCTCCTATCTCCTTGCAAAAAGAGGAGCGTTTTAGTACTCCCCTACTCTCACCACCAGGGCCACCACCTCTACACAATGCACTTCACTAGGAGAATCTTCTTTTTAAAAGTGTTTTTCATTCTAGTCATTGATCCTAAATATTCCTGATGTAAGTAAAACAAATATATTCCTTGATTTCCAGATTGTAAAACTGAGATTCAGAAAGACTAAGGGACCGCCCCTGAAGTCCAATAGCTCTTTGATGGTAGATCACAGACAAGTAACTCCTGGGCCCTGACTCAGAGGCTCAATGTCCTTTTACTGGAAAACAAACCACAGGAAAACTTCTGGCAGCATAATCAGTTAAGACATAACGGCAAAATAATGATCAGCCTCAGGCTGTCCCTTCCTGAAGAGGCTTCTGAAATACTTTGGGGCAGTCTCCCCCCAGAGGATTAGTGGTCTCCTCACCTTCCTGCCTTTATTCTCCTTTGGGTGCTCTTGCTCCCAGCAGTTGCACAGCAGCCCAGAAGCTGTCTTACCTCGATTCTGTGTTGTCTGAACGTCATCCCCCAGCACATCCTCTTCTCCTCCATAGGTACGGATGGGTGAGCGGGCATAGGAATGCTTTTGAATCAGGCTCTCCACACTTTCCCTAGGTTAGAGAGTGATACGTCCTGAGTAAACTAAAAAGTACTCCGAGAAGGAGAGGAGTATTAAAGATAATTTACTAGTCATTAAAGTCATTTTCTCAACCAAAAGGCAACCACTTCAGGGAAAGACAACGTTCAAAACATACATTTATTTCATTGTAGACTCCTCAGAAACATGATATCAGGCATACAAATACAAGAACCCTAACTGGATAGGACATAGACAATCCCATGAAATCCTACAAAATGAGGGACAAAGGTAAACAAGAAGCTATAAAACCTGACCATAGAAATATGGAATTTAACGATGTGAAAAAAATGATGGAGTACATTTACTATCAGGAGCTGCAATCTTGTGACTGCATCAGCTAATGAACACAAAACAAACTCACCTGATACAAACTGCACTGACTGAACATTTGATGAAATGTTGGCCCCACATTCAGCAATTAGTCATACAAAGACTCACTGTTTACTAATAAGCATAGTAAATACCCAGAGTATATGACAAAATATGAATAGACTCGATAATGGACATTTTGAGATTCTTGTTGCTTTTAGACTGAAAATTTAGAAAACCTGTGAAGGACATATAAATGGCCACTAAGGAATTTAGGCCCCAAAATAAATTGGTGCATTGTCTTTGTAGATGGTTTTTTCTTGAAGCATAGTCTGAAAACTAAAGAGTGCAGTTAACTCTAAAAACAAAAATTTTGGTATTGGCCAGTTTGACCTGCTGCTATTAAGGGGGGAAAATAAAGAGTTTAACCAAAAGTGCAAGTTGGTAACAGGTGAGCTCATATAGTACACATCTCCAAGAAAAGCTGTGGGCTAAAGACCAACATTGAATTAACCACCAAATGACAAAAAAGGGATTTTTAACAATTGTGTTGAATGAAAGACAAACCAAATACCAAATTTCATATTGAGGGATAAGGCAAACAAATAATATGTCATAATAACTTTTCAAAGTATAATACTTGTCAACAGTTCACATAATGTACAGACTTTGTGAAAAAAATACTGATAGTGAATTTGGTGTTTGAGAAAGCTTGTATACTCATACAGATTAAAGCATTTTGTCATGTAGCATGTGAATGAAGACTTAAGGGTATGCCTAAAAGAAAAAGATAATTCTAGCAACTATTCAAGTTATATCTTTGTTCCCAAAAGGTTTTAAAATAGCATACAGTATCATCTCATGTAGTCAAAATGACTGGGATGAGACAGAATCTAGATCCAATAGATTAACATACAGCTGTTTTAAACATGAGGCCATTCCATATTTATTGATATGGAATGATCTCCAAGATACAGTAAATGAAAAAAGTTAAGTAAAGAACAGTGTATAAAGTATGCCACCATTTGTGAATTTAAAATATAAAAGGAATATGTATGTTCATATATGCCTGTATGTGCATATTTCCAGAATGTTCCAGTTTCTAGAAAAAGAAGCTGCGTAGAAGAGGTTGTTTCTGTAGGATGGAACCAGGTACCTGAGAAAATGGAGTGATGATTCCCAGATTTGTCTTGATTCCCAAATTTGTCCCAAATACACTTGGGTCACCTAGGGCTCTTTTAAATATATGTATTTTGAGGTAAAATTAACATATAGTAAGTGGCATATATTTAAAGCATACGATTTGATCAGTTTGGGCTTATGTGACGACCAGTGACACCATCACCACCACAAGTGAGATAACACATGTATCTAACACTTCCAAAAGTTTCTTCATGCCCCTCATGGTCCCTGGTTCCCACCCCAACAAACTTTTCCAAGGAAACCACTTGTATGATTTCTGTTCCTACAGATTAGTTTGCATCTTCTAAAATTTTGTAAAAATGAAATCATACCTTATGTGTACCTTTTTATCTATAAAGGCTTCTTTCATTCAGCATAATTATTTTGAGAGTCATTGTGTTGGACACATATATCAATAGTTCATCCTCTCTTACTCTGAGTAGCGTTCTGTTGTATGGATGTACTATAACTTACCTGTTCACATGTTGATGGACATTTGCCTTGTTTCTAGTTTTTAACTGTTACACATGCAGCTGCCATACATACTCATGTATATTTTTAAATGGGTATATGAGTCCATTCTTTTGGGAAAATGCCTTAAGAACAGAATGACTGGATTGTATGGTAGGTATATGTGTAATTTTTTAAGAAAATGACAAACTATTTTTCAATAAGTTGCACTCCCATCAACAGTATATGAGAGTTCCATTCCTCCACATTCTCACCAACACTTGGTATGGTCAATCTTTTTAATTTCAGCTATTCTAATATATGTATACTAGTATCTCATCATAGTTTTAATTTGCATTTCCCTAATTACTGAAATGTTTCTCATCTTTTTTTGTGCTTATTTGCTTCTATATATCAGCTTTCATAAACTCTTCAAGTATTTTGTTCATTTGAAAATTACTGTTGTTTCCTTTTGAGTTTCAAGATTTTTTCATATATTGTAGACATTATTCCTTATAGGATATATGACAGGCAACTATTTTCTCCCAGGCTGTGCCTTGTCTTTCATCTTTTAATGGTGACTTTTAAACAGCAGAAGTTTTTAATTTTCATAAAGTCCAACTTATTGTTTGTAATTTTATGGATGCTTTTGTAGTACTACTCAAAAATTGTTGTCTAAACCAAGACCACGAAAGTTTCGCTTAATGTTTTAGAAGTTTTTATAGTTTTAGGTTTCACATAATGATCTAAAATTTGTCTTAGCTTTGCATGTAGCATGAGGTATGGATGTGTGTTCATTTTTTTGCTCTTGATATTCAACTATTCCAGCACTATTTTTTGAAAAGACTACCCCATCTCCACTATTTAATTGAATATACCACTATTAATATTGCATCTTTGTCAAAAAAATATTTTCCCTTTTTTGCTTTCTTTTAGGTTATATTTTATGATTTCACTTGATCTCTTTGTTGATTTGTTTGTTAGATATAACTTTCTTTTGATTTTTAGTGGTTGACTTAGTGTTTATAGTAAATACCTTTAACTTATCACAATGCACTTGGCAAGTGATATATCACTTTAAGTATAATGTAAGACTCACAATAATGTTCCTTTTTTTCTCTCTTCTAACCTTTGCACCATTCTTGTCAAACATTTTACTTTTACATAAACCCCCTCACTATATTGTTATCATTATTTTTGTTTAAGCAGTTAATTACATTTTTAAAAGATTTGACTAATATGAAAAAAATTCAATCTACTTATCCTCATAGTTACCATTCCCACTATTTTTCCTTCCTTTGTATAAATCTAGATTGGCATCTGATATATTTTTCCTTCTATCTGAAGGACTTCTTTTAACATATCTGTAGTACAATTTTGTGTGTCTGAAAAAAAAAGTCTTCATTTTACTTTAAAAAAACATTTTTGCTGGGTATAGAATTCTAGGTTAATAGACTCTTTTTTTCTTCCTGTACTTTTAGAAATGTTGCTCCACTGTCTCCTCATTCACTTTGTTTCTGATAGGAGATCTGCTGCCATCCTTATCTTGTGTAATATGTCTTTGACTCCTTAGTTGCTTTCAATATTTTCTCTTCAGCACTGGTTTTGAACAATTTGATTATGATACACCTTGGTGCTATTTCTTCATGCTTTTTGAGCTTGGGTTTGTTGGCCCTCCTTGAATTTTGTGTTTTTAGTTGTCATTAAATTTGGGGAAAAAATTCAACATTATTTCTCGAAACATAATTCTTCCCCTACTTCCCCACCTACCTTTTGGGGGCTCCAATTACACATATATTAGACTGCTTAAAGTTTGCCTACAACTTACTGATATTCTTCATGTTTAAAAATTTCTCTTTGCTCTCTGTATTTCATTTTGGATAGTTTCTATTGCTATGCCTTCAAGTTCTCTAATCATTTCATCTACAATATCTAATCTTCCATTAGTCCCATCCAGTGTAGCCTTCATTTTATACATTGTAGTTTTCATCTTTAGAATTTTGATTTGGATCATTTGGAAATCTTCCATGTCCCTATGTAATTTTTGACTATATGGAATACAGTTATAATAACTGAATGTCCTTGTCTGCTAATTATAATATTTGTGTCCATCCTGGGTTATTTTCAGTTGGCTAATTTATCACCTCATCATGGGTTATATTTTTCTACTTGCTTGCATTTCTGGTAATTTTTAACTGGGTGCCAGTTGTGAATTTTATCTTGTTGGTTGCTGGATATTTGTGTACTTTTATAAATATTATTGAGCTTTGTTCTGGGATATATTTAAATTACTTGGAAATAAATGATCTTTTGGGGTCCTGCTTTCAAGATATATTAGGTAGGACTGGAACACTGTTCAGTCTAGGTCTAATTTTTTTCTCACTACTGAAGCAAAACCTGAGTATTCTATCAGATGCCCTGCAAATCACAAGATTTTCCAGTCCATTTTGTTAGAACAGGTATTATTTTTATCCCTGTGTGAACTGTTTCTTCCAGTCTTTTCAGGTGCCTCCCCCTACCCCATCTCTGGTAGTTTCCTCACATGTATGTGCTAGTCAGGTCTCAGCTGAACACTCAAGAGGGACCCCCTGTAGATCTTTAGAGTTCTCCTCTCCTGTGGTCTATCCTGTGGATTCTCACTATTTGGTCTCATTGAACTCTCAGCTCTGATTGCTCAGCTCAAGGAGTCTGCCAGGCTCTGCCTCTGTTCTCCCTGTGCCAAGTCCTAGATACTCTCTCAGACTATATGCTGGGGTGATTATAGGGCTCATCTCATTTGTTTCCCATCCCTGGAGGATTATTTTCTTTTGTCGCCTTGTGTTCAGTATCATTAAAAAAATTGTTTCATATATTTTATATGTTTCTTAGTTATTTAAAGCAAGAGATTATACTTGGTCCTTGTTGCTTTACCTCTATCTGAAGCAAAGTCCCTCCTGAGGATCTTCTAAAAATTCCAAAACCAAGCCATACCCATAGGCCAGGTAAACCACAATATATGGGGGTAAGACATAGGCTTCAGTAACTGTCAAA